AAAGAGTCACATATCAGAAAGGGCCCTCAGAAGCTATTTGGTACAATTCAAGACATAGGAAACTAATTGTGCCTACTGGTCTAGGGTAATGTCTGCACATGGACAAAAACCTACAATTTCAGGAACAGAATGTTCTGAAATACTTGGAATATTTTGTTTCTTCTCTGAATTTTGCATCCAAATTGTCATGGACTGGAGGAAAAAGAATTTTCCGCACTTTGGGTAAGTTCTGTTACTGGAATGATTGATTTTGCTTAGGAACCTCCAAGAATCTCTAGCAAGCTTTCCCACTGTTTAACATACAATATATTTTCCTTTCCTAATGTGTAGCTAGGATTACATTTAAAGTAACTGAAGAATATTAATTAGAATTCCAAAACAGGTAGTCTTCCACTTATGACTGGTCACTTAGTGACCTTTTGAGGTTATAATAGACCTATGGAGGAAGGATGTTTGTGCCTATTTGTGACTCAGATTTGAGGTTCTGATGGTTGTCCCCTCCCATGTGGCCACATGGCCAAACTTAAGAGCATTTGGCAACCAGGCCACATTGACTGTCATGATGACTGTAAACAACATACTCTAATTCTATAACTTTGCCTCCTTTATCACTATGGGATCAAAACTAACAGTGAACTTCTTAATAATCTTAGTTTAATTAATTTACACTCTGTTCAATTTGTCACTTCTTTCAGTCTGCTTGGAAGTTCCTTCCTTGAAGTTCTTATTAGCAATAAAATATTCCTCAATTCCAGGATGTTCATCATCCTCTAACTAGTGCTGAGGGGAAGCAATGCATTTTTTAAAAAAAAACAATTGCTCATGTATCCCTAGTTTTCCATGGAAGGACACCCAGTTATCTTGTGAAGGGTAGGGATTGTTGAAATGTCATGAGGTTATTATTTTGGGGGGATCCAGTTGCTAATATTTCCTTAATGGTATGAACTTATCTGCCTGGCTCTGAGGCTGAATTTTAGATCACTTCCTTTATTCTGCTAGAAGGCACTTATGTCTTCCATAAAGGCCTGAAGATTGCCAGTGTGCACTGCTGACACTTAATGCTAAGTGTCAGCAGTGCACATTAACACAAAGTTATGCCTGCTTAAGGTGGCATGAATACAATCATCCCAATTTGCAGTATGTAAGAACAGCCATGTAGGACGTCACCTCTGTCATCTGCACCGCCACCTTTTCTGAAACCGAAGCCACCTTTGTCTTGTTTCCTGCCTTCAGCTATGTCCACTCGGAGCGATCGGTCACCATAAAGCTGTTGGGTTGAATAAAAAAGAAAGAAATGGTTTCTGAAGTAGATAACAGATAAAAGCAGTTACCTCTGTTCAAACTACATTTCACAAGAATATTTATACTTACTGCTCCATCAAACGTCAGAGATCCTTTAAGTGACTCAACGTCATCAAACTCTACATAACAAAATCCTGAAATGTAACAAATAAATAAATATAAATATACATGAGAGGCACACTGTGGTTAAGGTGCCAGGCTAGAAAATGTAAGTCCGTGAGTTGTAGTCTCATCTTAGGCACAAAGCTAGCTGAGTACATTTGGATCAGTCACTCCCCAGTGTAGAAAGAAGGCTATGATTTGACTATTTTGGAAATGTTGCCAAGAAAGCTCTGTGGAATTATCCAGGCAGTCATTAGAACTCAAGACTGACTCAAAAGGGTGTGAATGAATGCATATACATCTAAATAAAATCAGGAAAATTGTTCTCATTTTGGCATTGGAAACTAGGTGTGCATGTGTGATCATCGGTTTATAATTCTCATAAAACTGATTTGGTTCCTTGAGTTCTGTCACCCAACAATTTAACTTCCTGATCTGAAATACAGATTATAGAAAAAATGAAACATAGAAAAAAACTCATGTCTCCTTGCTCTTAGTCCAACACCTTCACCAAAATACATAATGTTTTATTAGCAAGTATAGATGGTTTGACATGCAGGAAAACCTTGTTTATGTTGCTTATTCCTATTAAGAGTTTCAGATGGTCATATCTTTACTTTACACAAGCCTTTCTCCTGGGTCTCCTTCACTCCTGCAGCAGGCATTTTCTGTGATCAATCAACATCTTTATCTTCAATGGGTTATTTGGGGAAGAGCTAAACTGCTGCATGAGGTTCTCTCCCTAAAGGTCACAGCCTATGCTACCAGCATTCAGGTTTCCCCTGGAGATGCTGGCTGACATATCATACATCCCCCTGGTCCAACTCGAGTTATGTAGCTACCACAATGTACTTTTATCTGTATCATTCAATTACAAAATATTTAAAATAACAAGTACGTCAAAAGTTGGCATAATTCTAATGCTATGGTAGCAGCCCTCTAGAATCCCTTTAAAGATACAGACAATTGTATTCTTTAATTTGGCAAAAAGAGCAAGTTATTAAATACATGGGGATGGTTTTGTTTTCTATATCTAAACATTGAAACCACATTATAATTTACATTATGATGAACTTAGATTTTGGCTTCCCCTGTCCACTCTTTGAAATGTGCTTTCTGACTTACCACAGAAAAGCAAGAAATAGTCCTTAGGCCAAACACACGTACACATGCACACAAAGGCACACTCAATCTCACACCTTTGCTCTTTGCCAAACACACGTACACATGCACACAAAGGCACACTCAATCTCACACCTTTGCTCTACAAGGAAACAGCTGCCATAACCCCAAAACCTTATGATAAAGGGGAGATAAAAAAAACAACCTACCTTTAAATTTATCTGTCTCTTTGTCTCTGACTAGTCGGACACTTCTTACATTGAATTCCTTGAAGATGTCATCAATATCTCCTTGGACTGTGTTGAAGGGGAGGTTACCAACGTATGCTGTAAAGGGGGGCTCTGTTGGAAGCTCTTTCTGTTTACGTGAACCAATGGAAGAACTGCCACGAGACCTGTTGACAAGGGTAGGATTATAATTCACACCTGAGTGCTCCCTGTGGGAATAGCAGCTATGGCATACTTAGAAAACTCAGATATGGAGAACCACTTTTGCATCAAACAACTAATTTTGAAACCAGGTCGAAGTAATCTCTGGCTTGCAGACCCCCCCAAGCATCTCATTAACAACTCCTAAAGTCTAAAATGTACATCAGTATAAAGCCAGCCCAATTATTTTGGTAGAGTTTTAAAGAGCAAAGTTATTGCCTAAAAACTTTGCAGGGGTTTTTAGTATACATGGCAACGTTCAAAACATTTCTCCCCAAATCAAATAATTTTCACTGTTTTCCCCTTGCTTTAGGAATAAAATCACCACAGAGGCTTAAGGAATCATTTTTACTACTTAATCTCACATTCAAANGTCACCCTGAGAATGAGATGGACATTGCCTAAAGTTATTAAAAATCAATTATCTAATCTAATCCAGGGATGTCAAACTCATGTCACAGCAGCGTCACGTGACGTATTGGGACTTTTCCTCACCTTCCCTAAACTTGGTGCAGGCATGGCTGGGAGTTTGACAGACCTGATCTAATCTATCTTATCTAATCAATCTCTCTCTCTCTCCCTCTCTCTCCATCCCCCACCTACCCCCTTATTGCTTCTACCATGAGTCAACTAATAGAAGAACCACATAGTATGGCCCAAGATACACAAATCTATAATGGAAACCATAAGAAGTCTTAACTAACACATTTTATTAAAAGGCGCAATTTTTGTGAGCTGCAGCTTCACATTAGAGATTTGAACTAAACTAACATACATCAAAAGGTCTCAGGCAATGTCAGAAAATTTCCCTCAGTCTAGTCAGCTCCTTATGACTTTTCGCTATGAAATATCACCACGGCTATACTTCTGTAATATCTAAAACCTGTAATGGAAGTTGAATGTGGTATTCACATTGGGCTTCCTTTTAAGTACTGAAAATGGAGTTCATGCACAGTCCTGTACTGTATTACAGCACCTAAATAATGTAGGCTACAAAACTGGGCTGAGAATTAGCTATCTCATTTTGCCATAATGCAGGCAAGAAACCTGTGGTGCTCCAGACATGCTATAACACCAGCATCTGGCACCACTAGCCCATACCACCAATGGGGTGTTACAATTTAGAGTTCAGCAACTTCTGAATAACTGTTGCTTCTTTATCTGGGACAGGGGAGAAAGGAAGACAGCCTACCATCTGTTGGCTCTCGGAAATCCATAGAAGCCCCACGCATTGGTGGACCATCCCTGAAACGACCTGTGCCCCCCATGGGTGGGGCACCTCCTCGTCGATCTCCAGGACGTGTTCTACCTCTGCCTCCTAGGAAGTCATCATCTCTGAAACCTGTCGAAGAGAATATAGTGTTTAGCATCAACTCTCTTGATATCTCTGCCCCAGGAAAAACCTTGCTCATGAAGGATTTCTCCAGACCATCCAAACTTCCTGAAGAGCAGCATTCTAAAAATCAGCTAGTTTTTAACTCCCTAAGACAGTGATGGCGAACCTTTTCACCACCAAGTGCCAAAAAGGTCACACAAAACTTTTGCACGTGCGCTCACTCTCATCGGTGCTGTGCTCCAGAAAAGCCAAACTTCGGGTTCTAGTGCGGATGCGCGCCTGACAATCAGCTCGCTGTCACGCATGCGAAGGCCGGTTTTCAGCACTGCCATGTGCGAAGGGATCACACTCCAGAAAAGCCGAACTTCCGGGTTCTGGCGTGCATGCGAACCTGACAATCAGCTAGCCATCATGCATGCTCACACTGGTTTTCAGCACTGATCAGGACAGCTGATCATCAGGCGTGCCAGAAACCCGGAAGACAAACAGGCAAGGCTGTGCGTGACGGGCAACATGGTTTCGCGTTCCAGAGGTTCGCCATCAAGGCACTAAGATAAGGCCCTGCTTATCTTTTGCTGGGAGAAATGTGACTTTTCTGGCACCAGGACAATTATACAATTACATGGCTGTGGATGTACGCATGTTGCTGTTTTTCTTAGTTGTACCATACCATTTTTCTTATTAGGTTTGCTTTTATGATTACCAGTACTGATCCACTAAATTTCCTGATAAAAGAAAGGATGTGCTTAGAATACAGATGTTGTAAGGTTGAATATAGCAAGGGGAGCACCTGCAATACAAACAGAAGATTGTGATTTCTGACTGCAACAATCAGACTAGGATTCCTGCCTTCTGATAAATTTCAAGGTTGAATTTTCTGAAGTAAAGCTTCCTTTCTGGTAACCGTCTGCTTCTTGCTGCTCTTGTTTAGATGCATTTTTAACTGGAGAAATGTCCTGTGAACTACTCGTGGCCAGCCCCTATTCTGACTAAATCTTAACTATCCTGTTTCCCCAAAAAGAAGACCTCCCCGGTTAATAAGCCCAATTGGGCTTTTGAGCGCATGCGGGGGTCAAAAGAAAATAAGATCCTGTCTTATTTTCGTGGAAACATGGTAGGATGCAAGGGTAAACTACCACCATCGACACACTGATGGAGTTGAATTCTATGGTATAGTGCAATATTAATGCAATATCGGGTTTCCAATTCAATGGTATAGATAGAATGTGAAGGAT